ACACACGGATGTATGTGGACCAATGAGCACAACCGCATGAAACGGTTATCGCTATTTTATCACATTCACAGACAGCTATAGTAGATATGGCTATGTCTACCTAATGTCGCACAAATCTGAATCCTTTGAGAAGTTTAAAGAATTTCAGAGTGAATGGAAAATTTGCTTGGAAAGAAAATCAAAGCCCTTCGATCGGATTGAGGTGGCGAGTATTTGAGCTACGAATTCGACGACCATCTGAAAGATGGTAGTCTCTCAGAATTGACACCACCCGGAACTCCACAATAGAATGGAGTGTCCGAGAGGAGAAATCGAACTCTGTTAGACATGGTTCGATCCATGATGGGTCTTACCAATCTTCCTACACTTTTTGGGGGCACACACTTCAAATCGTGGCACTAACACTTAACCGCGCTCCGTCAAAAGCTATCGAAAAGACTCCATATGAATTATGGACGAAGAAACCTCCACGATTGTCTTTTAATAAGATTTAGGGTTGTGAAGCATATGTTAAAAGACTCATGTCCGACAAGCTTGCACCGAAATCGGACAAATGATTATAATCAAACCATACCTCAGCCTCTAGTTCCTTCAATTTGACCTTCTCATCAGTCTTGGCCATCAAACGTAGGTGTGCAGTTTCATCTAAAGGCCGCTATTCTACTTCTTTAGATTCAGAGTCACCCCACATAGCTATCATGGCTTTCCTTATATCCGTATTAAAGAAAGATGGCTTGTAAGTCTTGGTCTCCTTTCCTTGATCCTTGCCTTTGAATCTTGCTCTATGATTTTCCTTATGAGGATAGTTTCTAATAAAGTGTTCATTTGAGCCACACTTGAAACAAGTTGTCTCTTTGGAACTTGAGAATTTTCTGATCCTATCAAACTTCTTGTTTCCAAGCATCTTCATGGATCTTCTAACTAGCATGGCCATCTCATCTTCACCAACTTCCGAGTCATCTGTATCTTGATCCTTTAAAACTACACTTTTCTTTTTGGAACTTTCAGCATTAGTTCCTAAGTAAAGTTCATGGGTCATTAGAGATCCAGCCAGTTGTTTCATGTTAAACTTGGTGAAGTCCTTGGTTTCTTGTAATGCAGTCATCTTGGATCTCCAGCGTTCATCTTGAGGAAGACTCCTCAACACCTTTCTTGCCTGTTCATCTATAAGAGTATGCCTGCTAAGGGATCCTATCTCATTAATTATATCATTATATCTAGTAAACATTTCCTCAATGGTTTCCTTACGTAGAATTTCAAATATTTCATATTTAGACATCAAGAAATCAATTTTAGAACGTTTCACCTCGTTTGTAACTTCATAAGTAACTTAAAGTTAATCCCATATTTGCTTAGCGGACATGCATCCCATGATCCTATTATGTTCATGGGGTCCAATTCCACAGTGCAACAATTTTTTAGCTAAACCATTCAATTCATATTTTTGAAAATCTTCCTTATCAAAATCAGATAAAGGTTTAAGGACTACCTCGTTCTTCTCATTAGTTTTTGTTACCTCAAAATCACCAGATTTAATAACACGCCAAACCTTTTAATTTTCATCCTTAATGAAGTTCTCCATCCTGTTCTTCCATTAGGTGTAAAACTTCCCGTTGAACATGGGTGGAACTTCAAGCTTCTCTCGATAATTCATCTTTTCTCAGGAACATACTCAATAAAGTTACTTTTTATACGTGAGAACCTGCTCTGATACCAATTATTAGTTGAGACGAAATGCTACAAGGGGGGAGGTGAATTATAATGAGTTCCTAGGTGACTACTTTCTGCAGAATCATTACACAAACTAAAACAAGAACTGGAAAAGCACACAATAATTTTACGAGGAAATCATCCAGGACCCATGCCAACTGGAAGTAAAACCTCGACTTTCCAAAAGATTTCAAAGCAAACCAATCCACTATAATAGGGTAACACACCTAGTTACAACCTATCAAGTACAGACCTTTACTCACAAGTTCTAGACTAAACTTGTTACCTAGTAGAACCCTATTCTACCCAACTTAAGTCCCTGACCTAAGTTCACAAAGCACTCCTAGAGTACTCAAACTCAGCTTCACACTAGAAGCCTACAAACTGTATGCGATAACAAAACACTCACCCAAATCCCAAAAAAATCCAAACGCTTGACTCTAATACGAGATTGGAAAGCTACACATGAAACCCAAAACTAATATGACAAATCTTTAAACTTGGCAAACTTACTCTTAAACACTATTCATATTTTCTTGCATAAACTCTCAAGTCACTTCTTTATATACAAAAAAACACTCGTATGTAAAGTAGAGTTTTCAAAGAGATAAATATTGAAACTGTCGTTTAATGAAACCCAATATGAAATGAATCTTTTTGTGAAAATATTTTTGAAAATCGAACAAAGATATAATTTAGAAAAACATAAATATTTTGTAGATCTTTTCCATCAATTAAAACTTATCTTTTATAAAACATCCGATTTTACTTATCTTGCCAAGCTTTGTCACGTTTCTAATAGATCTCATGCATAATTAACCAACACATATTTATAACAATCCTAATAAGAATAAACATAACCAAAACCTTATTGAAAGACTTTAAGTCTACTACTAAATCGCTTCCTCAAACTTCGTAGAAATCTATCAAGGTGCTCTATTGGATCTTCAACTCGAGAACCCGAGAATTGCTCCGCTTATACCATACTTGTATATTGGGGATGGATTGTGAAATTGGTTTCCATGACGGGTAACAAGATCCCACCCGTGACTTCATAGTCCTCCGGGTTTCCAAACTCACGTAACAAAATGTCCTCTTCTTGTCCCGCTGATAAGCCTTCTTATCATGGGTTGAGAGAAGCATTTTAGGGTGTGTTTTGATGCTTTATATGTACTTTTGTTAGCTTTTGTGAGTTTTGGGCTGTGATCTCACTTATGTGCAAAAGGCGGGATTTATGAGTATAAGTAAGTGAGTGAGCTCGGGAACCAATGAAGAGTTATGTAAGAAGGATGGACCTTGGCTCGTGATTTGAGAGTTTTGATGGAGCATGGAAGAGCAAGGAAGAAAGCTTGAGGAAAAGGTGAAGCAAAGCAAGAAGAAGAAGCAAGGAAAGAAGGCAAAAACATCAGGAACCGCTGCCAGGGCCGCTGGCAGCTGGCCAGAGCCGCTGGCAGCAGGTATACCAGAGTGAGGGGCTGCCAGAGCAGCTGCCAGCGGGTCCAGAGCAGCTGGCAGCGGCTCTGGCAGAAATTCGGGCTGTTTTGGTTAATTTTCAGCAATTTGACTTTGTTTTGGCTCGTGTTTTGGATATTATTTTATTATTATTATTGTGTTATGTTATTAAAATATAGAAACATATAAATAGCTTAGTTTTAATTAAGTTTTAAGTTAGAAAAGGAGAATTAAGTTTTGAGAAAAAAAAGCTTTCTAGGGTTTTCTTGGAATTTTCAGAATTCTTTGTTTTGGAATTAGAATCCATGGAAGCTTAATCTTCCGGATTCTTGGTTAAAGATTGAAGCTTTTAGCTACGAATTGTGAGATCTTTCTTCTCTTAATATCTATTGAATATATATTGTTCCTTGAATTAATTTCATGATTTGCTTTAATCAATTGCTAGGTTAGAATTATTTGATTCGCTTGCATCTAATTAATGTTTCCAAAGTAGCAACTTTAGGTTATTGATGCATGCTTTTGGTTGATAACTTGAAGAGGGAATAATATTATTGAAGAAATTAGACCGCTTGTGTTAATTTATTCAATCCTTGTTGATTTCTCCGTTTATTTTCTTCTTGTGGATAATTTAGAGCGCTTGTCTTGAATTGTGCATTGGAAAGGGTTAGAAAGGAGCGCTTTGCTATTTCTAACTATTTATGAGAATTTAGAATCTAGGAATTCTACAACAAGGTGTTCAATAGAGCTTGATTGAGGAGACTTCTATGATCAATTTGTATGTTCATTAGTGGATTTCGCATAACCAAGACTGTTCTTCTCATTGATTACCTATTCATTACGTTCGTTGTTCTTACTTAGTTCATTTATCATCATTGCTCGTGAAAACCCCCCTCGTTACTTAGGTTACTACCGTCCTAGAGTATTTCCACTTAGGTTTCCAGTTATTAGTCCCTTTTTCTCTGTGGATTCGAACTTGACTTCCCTAACTACGTTTATTTGCAGTTAGCTTAGTTGTGATATTTTTGGTTGCATACGACTGAGGCACACCAAATTTTGGCGCCGTTGCCGGGGAATTAAGGCGTTACTTTTTAATTGTTTATCTTAGTAAAATTTATTTTAGGACTGTTCTTAGCTATCTTTCTTTGTTTGTTCGCTAGGGTATGATAAGTACCCGTTCTGCTAACAAAGAAGTTTTGCAGTTTGATCCAGAAATTGAAAGGAATATTTCCAGGTTGCGAAAAGAGGCAAGAACAACCCCCAGTGAATCAACATACTCCTTCAATATTCAAGAAGAAGAGGAGATGGCTGACAATCGAACTCTAAGGGAACTCACAGCTCCCAACTTGAACCAACAACCGTTGTGCATTGCATACCAGCAGTTGGAGGAAGGTACTAATGTTGAGATCAAATCCGGTCTAATTCATCTATTTCCGGCATTCCATGGCATGAAAGGCGAAGATCCGAATAAACATCTGACAGAATTTCATGTGGTTTGCACTAGCATGAAACCGATTGGGATGACTGATGAACAAATTCAGTTGAGAGCATTTCCTTTTTCTCTCAAAGATGCAGCAAAGGATTGGTTTTACTATCTTCCCCCAGGTAGCATAACAACTTGGGCAGATTTAAAGAAGTGTTTCCTTGAGAAGTACTACCCAGCCACTATTTCTGCAAGCCTTAAGAAAGCTATCAGCAATGTGGATCAGAAGGAAGATGAATCCTTGTATGAGTATTGGGAGAGATTTAAGAGATTGTGTGCTAGTTGTCCTTACCATGGGTATTCCGATCAAGACCTCATCCTATACTTCTATGGAGGTCTAACTAATGATGACTTGAGGATGGTGAATGCAGCAAGTGGTGGAGGGCTAGTGAATAAGACTCCAGGAGATGCAACTAGGTTGATTGCAGAGCTAGCAGAAAATTCTAGGCAATTCAGTCAGAGAACTCCCACGCGCCGGGTGAATTTAGCAAATTCGAATACAACTGAGTTAGAGAGTCAAGTAGCTGATTTGACTTCTATGATGCGTGAGTTCATGGTGAACTCAAGGAATCCACAGCAACTGAATGCTTGTGGTTTATGCACCTCCATGGGACATCCCACTGATGCATGTCCTCAATTACAAGAGGAGCAGAATGAGCAGGCCAACGCCTTAGGTTTTCAAGGGCAAGGTCCGCAGAGAAGATATGATCCCTTTTCAAATACCTACAACCCAGGATGGAGAGATCATCCAAATTTGAGATATGGGAATTCCCAAGGAAACCAACAACATCAGCATGCTCAAGGTCAACAACAGTTTCAGCAATATAGGGCACCGTTCCTAACACCTCAAGGCCAAAGCTCTAATTCAGGTAATATGTCAACTGAAGAAATGATTAGATCACTAACTTCTAATGTTTCTACCATGCAGCAGAATATGATGCAGTTTCAACAAGAAACCAGATCAAGTATTCAAAACCTGGAAAATCAAGTCAGTCAAATCTCAAGTGCAGTAAGCCGACTTGAAGCTAAGGACTCTGGAAAGCTTCCATCCCAAACGGAGCTGAACCCTAAGCAACAAGCTAATGCAATAACATTGAGAAGTGGCAAAAAGTTGCAAGAAACTGTAGTTGCACCTAAGAAGGCTAAAGACTTGATTGGAGTTGAAGAGGAGGAAGTAGAACAAGAAACTAAGGCGAATCCGCCAACCTTTACCTCTTATGAGCCTGTGCCACCTTTCCCAGAAGCCTTGCAAGATACTCGAAGGTATGAGAAAGACAAGGATATTTATGAGACTTTCAGCAAATGTGAGGTAAATATGCCCCTCTTGAATGTGATTAAAAGTGTTCCTTGTTTTGCTAAGTTTATGAAGGAACTGTGTACGATCAAGAGAAAGCACAGGTTGGGAGGAAAAGAAAAAGTGAAGGTGAGTGCTCATGTTTCTGCAGTTTTCCAAAAGAAACTCCCAGAAAAATGTGGTGATCCTGGTATGTTTACTATTCCTGTTACAATAGGAGACACCACATTACACCGAGCCATGTTGGACCTAGGTGCATCAATCAATGTCATTCCCTACTCCCTGTTTAAATCTTTAGAACTTGGGCCTTTGCATGAAACTGGGGTAGTAATTCAGTTAGCTGATAGGTCCAATGTATATCCTAAGGGGGTAGTAGAAGATGTACTTATTAAGGTTGATGGATTGATCTTTCCTGCTGACTTTTACGTCCTTGACATGGAAATGACAAACAAGCAGCCCCCATCCTGTTAGGAAGACCTTTCTTAAAGACTGCTAAGACAAAAATTGATGTGTCTACCGGTTCTTTGACTATGGAGGTTGATGGGAAAGCAATTGTGTATAACATTTATGATACCATAAAGTATCCTGTTGATACTCATTCTTTATATTCTATAAATGTTGTCGATCCAATATTGCATGATGTTTCTAACATTGATCATGGGGATGAGCTCCTCACACCTATTACTAATGTTGTGTCTGGTGATTGCTTGGATTCTTCTATACCTACTAATGTGCAGGTGAAGGTGGCGGAATTGAATGAACAGTCCAAGCTTCCACCTATACCACTAGGGGCAACACCCACCCCGTCATCATTTCCGGGCAAGAAATTATCCCAGGTATACCACAAAGCAAAGAATAAGGTGTGGCATGACAAGATGAGCTCCCGTTGGAAGGGTCCAATTCAAGTTGACAAGGTCTATCCGCATGGAGCGGTAGAAATTCGGAGTTTAGAGACCAACAACATGTTCAAAGTGAATGGAAAAAGGCTCAAACCATACTACGAAGGGTTCAAGGTCGAGAATTTGGAGAACATCGATCTCTACGAGCCATCAATTGATTAACGAAGTTTCATGAGTTGTGTCGAGCCAACGACGTAAAACGAAGGCGCTAATCGGGAGGCAACCCGAAAACTCTTCCCCGTTTTCATTTATTTTAGTTTTTATTGTTTTTGTTTTGATGTACCAAGTGCTTTTGGTGGATTTATGTAGGAGGATGCTTTGGGAGTACGTATTGTGATAAAAAACAGAGCAAAACAGGTAAAAACAGGCTTTGGGAGGCAGCCCCTGCAGGAGCCGCTGGTAGCGGGCTGGCAGCTGCTCTGTAGCGGCTCTCCAAGCAGCCAAAAAATCCCAAAGTTCTGCCCCAGCCGCTGGCAGCGGGTCTGGTGCCGCTGCCAGCGGGTGTCCTTCAGAAAAAAAAAAGAAAAAAAAATATTTGTTTTTGCAGCAGCCGCTGCCAGCGGGTCCCAAGCCGCTGCCAGCGGGTCTTCCAGCAACATTCACCCTAAATTCCTTCTTAAGCCGCTGGCAGCGGGCCCCAAGCCGCTACCAGCGACATTCCTGAATTTTTGCCCTTTTAAACCCCTTTTTCTTCAATCCTACAATCCAATTCATTCTAGTCTTTATCCAAAACCCCAATTAATCACTTCCCTCTATCCTTTAGCAAGTATTCTTTATCCAAAACAACCCATTTGCCCCATTTTCAATCCAAAATTCAGAAATTTAAAAACCCCTCGTCTAACCTCTTTTCCCTCAATTTCAAGTCCAATTAAACCTTAACATTGTTTCAATTTCTAAATTCTAAACTTGAAATTTGAGGAATTGTGTGAACCTTGGTGTTTGGAGGTTTGGTGGGTTGCTCATTGTATTTTGAAAGAGGAGGTGAGATTTGTGCAATTCGTTCTTGTGCAATGGGAAGACATAACAAGTGAAGGCAACCTCTTCACCTACAAGGGTTGCAAGGGGGTAGACAACAAGGGGATACTTCAAGGGAGGGTGTATCACCCTCTTTTCCCCAAGCAAATGACTTCATGGGCATTCGTCTAACTACGAAAGAAAAGACTACATGGGTTCAACTTCAACAGCCCAAAAGAATGGTGCAATGCACAAAAGTCGTCGATTTGGAGGCATTGCAAGTGGTTGGTTTGGAGGAAGTGATGGAGCACGAGCGCACCTACTTATGTGAGGTATAGATGAATTCCTTTCCACTTTGACTAAGGGATGTCAAGAATTTCTTTCAATTTTAACAATAAGAACTATGTCATGCCTTATGCGGTAATTAGAAATGCGTTTGGTTGGAATAATCTTCCCATGGGCAACACTTGGGGTCCCCATAGTTCATTTTTCTTCTCGAGAGTTTTGAAATCCTTGATAATGCCGAATCTTCCAACTTTGGGAATCCTTCCCATTAAGGTGGTACTTATTTCTTCCCTTTCCCTTACTTTTGTTTTTATTGTTGTTGTTCTTGCATTGAGGACAATGTCTCATTCAAGTAGGGGGGGAAGCAATTCTTGCATATTTTTGAAATTTGTATAGTTATCCTAATTTAATGGTTTTTTATAGCTATTTCAATTATGTTTCAATGAAAAAAAAGAAAAAAAAAAACAAAGAAGAAAAATTGAAAAAAAAAGAGAAAAGAAAAAGAAAAAGAAGCCCTCTAAGTCGAAAACCTGAAAAGGCGGCTTAGGCAAAAATGGGGGCCCGGTTAGGTTGAAAACCCGAAAGGGCGACCTAAGCAAAAAAGTGGCTAATGAGCGGGTGAGGTAGTGAGATTTGGAAAAAGATGAGAGGCTAGGATGAAAACCCGAAAGGGCTCCTAGGCAAAATGAGAGAAAAAAGAGAGAAATGTACATGAATTTGATTCTTCAAGGAAATTTCGCATCTATTTTCCGGAGTCGGTGTCATAAGGGGAGGAGATATAAGGAGGTGTCGGGGTAGGTTTCATCTTGGTGATTTTGGGAGATAGTTGAGATTTTGGGGGAATTTGTTGATCATCTTAGGAATTTGAGAGCATGAGTTGTTTGTTTTCACTCTTGAATGTGGAAGTGTTTTTATGAGATTTTTGGTTAAGTTGAGTATTTGTTTGCCCAATTTTATCAAAAATTTCATTTCTTTAGGCGGTTGAGAATATTCATACTCATGGCTATGCGTTTATCGTTCCAAGTTGATTTTGGGGATGAATTGATAAATAAGAAAAAAGGGAGATTCAAAGTGTGAAGTATGGGGGAGTGTGATTGTGATTGGTTGATAAGTACTAGGATGTTTTGTTGAGTTTGAGTGCGTAGAGCTAGTTTGATTCCACCATCTTCTGTTTTGAACCTTAGTGAGGAGGATGTGTTTTATTCTCTAAGTTTACTCGAGGGCGAGTAAAGGTTCAAGCATGGGGGAATTTGATAAGCCTTCTTATCATGGGTTGAGAGAAGCATTTTAGGGTGTGTTTTGATGCTTTATATGTACTTTTGTTAGCTTTTGTGAGTTTTGGGCTGTGATCTCACTTATGTGCAAAAGGCGGGATTTATGAGTATAAGTAAGTGAGTGAGCTCGGGAACCAATGAAGAGTTATGTAAGAAGGATGGACCTTGGCTCGTGATTTGAGAGTTTTGATGGAGCATGGAAGAGCAAGGAAGAAAGCTTGAGGAAAAGGTGAAGCAAAGCAAGAAGAAGAAGCAAGGAAAGAAGGCAAAAACATCAGGAACCGCTGCCAGGGCCGCTGGCAGCTGGCCAGAGCCGCTGGCAGCAGGTATACCAGAGTGAGGGGCTGCCAGAGCAGCTGCCAGCGGGTCCAGAGCAGCTGGCAGCGGCTCTGGCAGAAATTCGGGCTGTTTTGGTTAATTTTCAGCAATTTGACTTTGTTTTGGCTCGTGTTTTGGATATTATTTTATTATTATTATTGTGTTATGTTATTAAAATATAGAAACATATAAATAGCTTAGTTTTAATTAAGTTTTAAGTTAGAAAAGGAGAATTAAGTTTTGAGAAAAAAAAGCTTTCTAGGGTTTTCTTGGAATTTTCAGAATTCTTTGTTTTGGAATTAGAATCCATGGAAGCTTAATCTTCCGGATTCTTGGTTAAAGATTGAAGCTTTTAGCTACGAATTGTGAGATCTTTCTTCTCTTAATATCTATTGAATATATATTGTTCCTTGAATTAATTTCATGATTTGCTTTAATCAATTGCTAGGTTAGAATTATTTGATTCGCTTGCATCTAATTAATCTTTCCAAAGTAGCAACTTTAGGTTATTGATGCATGCTTTTGGTTGATAACTTGAAGAGGGAATAATATTATTGAAGAAATTAGACCGCTTGTGTTAATTTATTCAATCCTTGTTGATTTCTCCGTTTATTTTCTTCTTGTGGATAATTTAGAGCGCTTGTCTTGAATTGTGCATTGGAAAGGGTTAGAAAGGAGCGCTTTGCTATTTCTAACTATTTATGAGAATTTAGAATCTAGGAATTCTACAACAAGGTGTTCAATAGAGCTTCATTGAGGAGACTTCTATGATCAATTTGTATGTTCATTAGTGGATTTCGCATAACCAAGACCGTTCTTCTCATTGATTACCTATTCATTACGTTCGTTGTTCTTACTTAGTTCATTTATCATCATTGCTCGTGAAAACCCCCCTCGTTACTTAGGTTACTACCGTCCTAGAGTATTTCCACTTAGGTTTCCAGTTATTAGTCCCTTTTTCCCTGTGGATTCGAACTTGACTTCCCTAACTACGTTTATTTGCAGTTAGCTTAGTTGTGATATTTTTGGTTGCATACGACTGAGGCACACCACCCGCCATTGCTTCACTTTGAGAGCTTGAAGACTAAGAATCACTCTCACTCTCAACAATACCACCAAGACCCCAGGACTCTTCTAGATATAGCCTTCGGACTTGTCTTAATGTACGGTTGATTTCGTGATCAATGTAATGTGTAGCTGATCCTTGAGACCTCCTTTGCATTCACCAAATCTAAACAAACAATTAGCAATGACTAGCAAGAGAGTAAATGGACAAAAGTAAAGCAACAAATTCCAATAATCTCACAATAAAAGTGCAAAACTAGCTGTCTCCCCGGCAATAGCGCCAAAAATTTGATGGTCGGATAATAGGTCGTTATCCACTACCCTAAATCAAATAAAACAATTTATATTCCTACACTTATACTACCGAGATAGTGATATGAAAAGGGTCGAACCACTAAAGAAACGGGGGAATTGTACGATTATAGCGAGATCACGAATCTATTGCAAAGGGAAAAGGGAGTTTTTGTGTTTTTGATGTTTTTAATGAGGGATTAAAACTACTACAATTAATGAAAGCAACTAAATGAAATGAAATCAATCTAGATGAACTAATATGAAGTAGAAATACTAGATTAGATAAATATGATCAAATCACTAAGGAAAGGGGGTCTCAATCATGATCAACTAAAGAAGCAATGATGATTAACATGGATAAATGCCAAGGAACAATAATTCT